CCCTAGAGTTTCTTGCTCGTTCTTCTCTGGGAAGTCAGCGTAGTAAACGTGCAGTAGCTTAATGTAATGTAATGTAAATGTGACGTTTTCAAGTGTAAATTTATTTTACCTATGGAATAAATGATCTTTGACTTGACTTGACTTGACGGTATATCTAATGGAAAAACACTATGCACTCCATCATATACTGATATTTACACACACACTGTGCCTTCTAGAAAAGCAAGCTTCTAGAAAATTTTATTTTAATAAGGACAAAACAATATCATTTCATCAATTAACCGCTATAAAAAGTTTCATTAAAAAACTACGATACCAAATAAATTAAAATAAAAGAATCGTCAATTAAATCTGTAGTAAAAGTCGTCTGAACAATAGTGAGTGGGCTTGTACGAGGGCGTTTAACGCTCTTGCTTCTTTAACGTTTTCAATTCATTAGGAACAAGAAGGGAACCAGTTATGCCGATCACAAATAATGCCTACCCTAACTTTTATAAGCTATTTACTTTACAATGTGGAAAGAGCTTCATATTAAGACAAAGAAATTATTAATTAATATAAGTACGTAATACAGTAAAATGAATGGAAAAAGAAGAAGGCAGTATTATGAAATGTGGTAAAATAAACTTTACTTCATTTTACAACTTAAAACATTCCGCCACCTCATTTTAGGTTCATCGTCATTATCATCAACCCATTTATACATCCCACTGCTACGTACGAGTCTCTTCTCAGGTAAGCGTTTAGACCATAGTCCACCACTACACACTTTTTACTAGGGTTGTAAACCTTCTTTCGACATCTCGGTCAAATCACGATGTTTTCCTTCATCGAAAAGCTCATGGTAATGAAATTTTTATTGAATTGATTTTTAATTATTTTTATGTGAAATTACTCCACTAGTTTTTTATAATTATTAATACAAAGATCAAACACTCAGAAAAATTTCCTCGATCCGGCCGGATTTAAACCGACGTCTTCCATCATACCGTGCCAGACGCTATACCAACTAAGCCACGGAACGAACCAGCGGACCTCACGAATTTTTCTATGTGCTTGTTGTCGTGTCTTTATATTCGATTTTTCAACGACTTTTCAACCGTAGCGCCATTTATGAGAAATCTATGAAAGTATTTCATCAGCTCATGGTAAATTTCAAATTACATTTCGCAATCCACCACCTCTGCTTGAGAGGTGGTAGGCCAAAACATTAGACTACCACGGTTTTTTCATTTCATTTCATTTTAGGTTGTTACTTTACAATTATGAGTATAGTACAAAACCTTCTTTTTTATTTATTTATTAGTTACAAAAGCAACTTTTTTACACTTTTAAACCTAAACAGTTTTGTGTTGCAAGTCTTCTAACAAATTATTGTTAGAAGACTTGCAACACAAAACTGTTTAGGTTAGATATTAATCTAACATTACAAAATGTTTCGTAGTACGAAAAAAATATAAAGGCACCTTTATAGCTACCAGAGGCCCACGAGAGATGTCGCTATATTAATAGCAATATTTATGGTATTGAATATTATGTTGTTTTTATTAACGTGACATTTGTATATGTTTTGTGAACGTAGTCCACTAATTTGTTAGTATTATTGACACAATAATCGAACGACACAAAGAAATATTCCTTCGATGTGACTGGACTCGAACCTGCGTCTATTGCCATACCGGGGCCATCGCTCTTACCAACTAAGCTACAGACAAGTTACATCTTACGTGACTGAAAAGATTCGTATAATTTTTCAATGTACATACTTGAAAAGTGATCAATTTTTACTGAATTAAAAATTAAACAAACGCTCTATGTTTCATGTAGGTGCATTGTTTGTCATAGATTCTAAAGTCAATTAACAAGTTCTTTTAGATGTCAGCTATATCGTTATCTATAGCCAGAGGATCGTTAAAGTCACATAACAGTCCACTAATGTCCTGTTTGCATTAGTGTCGCATTAATGCTTACGAAATTATTACGTGTAACTATAGGCCATCTGCGGTTTAGCCAGTTAACTAGCTACTTGGTCATGACGTGGTTTTTGCTTTTTTACCAAAGATTAAATAACATTAAATTGTTTGGTAGTTTAATAATGTCTTATCCATTCAAAACGTTATTATTTCAAGTTTAAGGAAGTGAGGTTTAACAGTGAGGATATCTTTGAGGAATAGAATAGAATAGACATTTATTGCAACGCCACAACACATAGATACAATATTACACATAGATATAATATAATATATAAATTAATGAATTAATTATTATAAAAATCATATATAAAATAAAATTAAATAATTTTATTTTATATCTGTTTAACATACAAAATATTGCTACACATTTCAAATTATTGAAAATTTGAATCAAATTTTAGTAAAGTATTATATTTTCACTATAGTAAAATTACAAAAATAAATATAAATTATATTCCGATAGGGCTTCATTTTACAACATTTTCATCAATTCAAATTTAAGAAACTTTTATTCTGACTGATTTTCTGACTCATTTGAACTAAAAATGGCCATTTATTACTACCTAGTGGCATTCTACTATAATCAATTAACCGCGTATCAACTTCACAGATTGTATTAGATAACCGTTAAGTGTTGATTAACACTTCATTAAGATAAGTTCATCTTAAATCTTCCGTAAGATATGCTGGTATCGTATAATATATCAATTACACAAGGCTATCAAGATTAATCACTCTATTTATTTTGTCTGTTTAAGTTGTATTTGGGCAAAGGAAAAATAAAAAGCATAAACATGTATGCTTTTTATTTTTCCTTATCAGAAACTAGGAAAAAATTTGAATAATAATAACAATAATTTAATGTTATTATTATTAATAACAAATGTCGAATACTAAGAAAAGTTCCTTCGATCCGGCTGAATTCGAACCACCGCTTTCGACATACCGTTTGTAGCGAACTGGTGACCCCAATATTCTTTTATCTGTATCAGAAAACAAGATGGTGCCATTAACTTCCTAGAAATACTGATTACTTTTTAGAACCCTCACAGAGAGCCATGGGATAATTGATTAAAATCGGGAATCACACCGCACTCCAACACCCATGCTAGGCAAGAGTCTCCTCTGGTGAGGTTTCAGGTCATGTTTAAGTCATATGATAATAGTAAATAATTATAAAATTAAGGTTTATGTATATAAACCCATTCTAATACCACTATCCTCTTTTCATGTCAGTTATCTAAATTATTTAGATCAAATCAACGCCTCATAATCAGAACATCAATATTGAGTTAATTCTTATGTTGAGGTAATTCTTATGTTGAGTTAATTCTTATGTTAAGTTAATTTTCTATCAATCACTTAACGATTTTAATTAGATATTGAAAATGTTTTCATTTTGACAAAAGTAAATAAAACTGAGATCAGATTCGTGCTATTAATCGATTGTATGCATTCTTTACAAGGATTGTCCATATGTGTTTTGTTATGAGTAAATATAAGATTCTATCTAATCGATTCTAATGTAGTCGAATCTATATTTTCTCTACTTCTCTGACTCATTATTATTGTATCATAAATTTTTTGGATTCAAATATAACTGAAGCATTCCATCCTCGTCAACAACATCATAATCATCAGATAAGATTGTAGTTTACATGTAAGCAACATGTAAATTTTCTTTTTCTTCTTATCGTGTCGATGGCATGCATACAATACTGCCGTGCGCTGGCTAAAACAGCTAAGTGACAAAATAATTTTTGAGGTATCATAAAAACCATAACCCCGTTTTCAGAATATTGAAATTGTTTAATAATATTTCAGCTATGCATCGTTAGGGTAAGTTCCGATAAGTCGAACACGTTAACTAACTCAAGTCAACTGTTTTTAAAAGACAATTTTGTGCTCTATTTTTTGCTATTTAAAACGGTTACTTGACCATTTGTCACTTAGCCACGTTTTGGTTAATGGACGGCAGAATAATGCTTCCCACTGTGGTATAAGGATTTTCCAATCGGCGTATGGTACTTGCCAATTGTTGCCCAGTTGCGCTAGACGTATAAAAAGGAATGGTACGGCGTGCGGGAAGGCTCCTTTCGTGCACCCATATATATTTCTTATTAAAAAAAGTAGATTTTAAGGTAGATAAATTATTGTAGGTGTAAATTATTTGCTCATTTTGCTTTTTACGTATGTATTATATTTGAGATCAGTGCTTCATAAGGACATCATGATAGCCATGAAACACGCTGACATTTTAATCCGGACCCGTGTTCACAACGTGAGGTGCCTTAGCCCTTTGTAAATTTGCATGACTAATCCGCTGTCACTCATCAACTGCCTGTAATACCCCTATAAACGTAAAAGGCGTTACAAATCGATTCGGTTTTACTTTGGTGGCCAAGTTCATTTCATATTAAGCGAAAGAGGCAGAAATTAAGTCTTCATTTCTTTTTGGTGGTAATAAAATATGACGATCAGACCGCACAAATCCAAAAATGTACATAACTGAAACAAAATGGGTAGGGTTCTTTTATCCACAAATAGGATGAATTTATAATATACCAGTGGCGGTATAGATCCATGTGAAAAAGTTCGTCCAGGGAATACTGCCACCTTACCTGTTCCTGCCGCCAAGCTACATTATTGCGTTCTTGTTTTAAAGGGTAAGGGTTCCAGTGAAATTGCAGACACATGGAACTTTTCAACTTAGGTCTCATGGTGACGGGCGCAGTAGCGGTGCCCCTCATATATTTGCGATTTAAAACTCAGACCGGCACTGCAACTGTTATGGACAGGCGTGTCGCTTACCACAAGGCGCACGACTTGTTCGTCCCATTATTTGGCATAATAAAAAACCTATTATATTGGCTGGTAAACCAAAATTACCATTATTAATACATTCTTTTATAAAACATTCTGAAAAAGCATATTATTGTACTTCTTCCATATATCTTTAGAATGGATTTCATAAATACTTATGATGTTTCCAAATTACCAATATCTTATGGGAAATTTCTTCCTCAGGTGGTGGGTCGAGAAGGCGTGCTAGCATCATCTGCAGTCAATGAAGTTCGGTGCGGGAACCGTCTAGTGTCAGGGCTGTTCACACGACCACGTTTGCCATTGGGCTACTCCTATGTGACCACAGTACCACGCGGCGCATGCCGTCTTAATGTCTCTGAGATCATCGCTAGCGAAAATTATATCGGTTTGTATTCATTACGTAATTTCAAGTACTTAACAATTATACTCATTCTAATATTAAATTTATTGAATATCACGATATTTTTAACCATAATATCAATTTTTTTGTTTAATTACTCCACTAGTTTGTTATAGTTACTAATACAAAGATTGAACCTTAGTGTTTCAAAAAAATCCTTCGATCCAGCTGGATGCGAACCTGACGCTCTCCCACTGAGATGCGGAGTACCTTTGTGAATTTTTCTTTGTGTTCGATTTTTGTGTTAATAATTATAACAATTATACTTATTATCATCATTTAGTAACAGTATGTTAGGTGTTCAATATGATGATTATTGGGAAATATGCTTAATAGAAAACCAATGATCTTTGGCATAATTACTAATGTAATTATAAATAAGATAGATTTAGAATAAGTTTCCATTTTATCTAAAATAACACAGGCAACAGTTTTTAGGAGACGTAGACCTAATTACTCTAGAAGTATTTAAAGAAATTCTTAAACAATGCGGGTTTAACAATCATGATTGGCGTGTCCCATTAGCAACTGTCTCTGACTTCCTGACTAAACTAAATTAAATAATTGTGTTACGAAAACAGGCTATGATGTCGATGAAAACATCACAACTTATCGTTCAGCTGCGCCTTGAACTGATAATCTGAAAAGGATACCTTCGACTATGTCCACTTTTTAAAATTTTACAAAAGAAAAAACCTTAAAATATCAAGTTTTGAAGTGTATCAATATGTCTCCGTAATCGAAGTGTTCATGTGAAATTTTAACAGGTACTTGAATTTTTTTTTGCACCACGTAATCTGAAAAAGTGAATGTTGTTAAAAAGTGGATATATAAATTAATAAATATAAATAAACATTAGGCATCATATACGTAGCTCGGATCCCAAAGTATATAACTAAAGCACTTGTTATATGGAAATCGAATGTTGATGACAAACACCCAGACTCGAGACATTATAGAAAAGTTAATTTTCTACATTGACCGGCCCGGGAATCGAAACCGGGAACTCAGAGATGGTGACACCATGAAAACCGGTGTGTAAGCCACTCGACCACGGAGGTCTTCAGATGAACATAATAAGAGGTTTAAATAGCGAGGTCACGATACTTTATTGAATATCGGTTATGTTATCTTTTTATAATAAACGCAACCTAATGTGCTGCTCTAGTTAGTACAAAATTATTATTATCGTTAACTTTTTGCACAATATCAATTTCATGATAATAAACTTATATTGTTAATCACGTCATTATGCAAATGACACTCAAGGTCTTTTCGCATTATGATAGAAAACTAGGTCAACAGATGTCGATTACTATTGAATACTAGCATGTCACCAGACGTGATTTTATTCGTGAGATGAAGTGTTTGCAAGTGCAAAGATCGTTGTCGAATCGATTAATCGGAATTGTGCACATGCACATAGTCGGCACGGCATCAATAGAGGCGCCTTAACTGCAAATTGTGAAATAAATAGAGGCATTGGCGCGCACAATTGGTGGTTAATTATTTACATGACGCAGCTTGTTGCAGTTCTGTGTTGGCATAGTTAAATACCCTAAGATGTTCTTATTGTGTATTTCAGCTTTGAAAGTAACAAATGGCTCCTACATTATGAATGGAGAGTTCGCTGTCAGCGCACCTGGAACTTATGACGCTGCAGGTGCAAGATTTAAATACACCCGAAACGCTGGTCTGGATTCTGTCTTTGCACTCGGACCTATTCGCTACCCCGTCGATATTATGGTAATTAATAGCAATATTTGGATAACCTTGCGGCTATTTACATTTACATTTAGCCTGATGTATCCCACTGTCGGGCAAAGGCTATTTAATACATTTTTTTTTGTCGCCAGGTGCTCTACACTCAACCGACTCCGAGCATAAAGTACGAGTATTTAGCTGATTCCAACGATGATACTAGTAACGATATACCGACCAACGCTGCTCCTCAACATCATCAAATGCAACGACATCACCATCGTCATCACAATAACGATCACACAAGAGCTCTCGAGCCCTCGAATCCTGATCCTTCTTTATCGAAGCAACCTGTATTTAATCCGCTCGCGAGCCACTCCCAAATCGAGAGTAACGTTATTGGGAACAGAAAATTTATTTGGAAAATACTGTCCTTCACCCAATGTTCGAGAACTTGCGGTGGAGGTCTTCAAGTAGGAAAATACAAATGCGTTGAAGTTAACGGGAAGGAAGATAAAGAAGTGTCTCCAGCTCTTTGTGATGGCTTTCCCCCTCTATCTCGTCGTCGTCGTTGCGGCGGAGTACCGTGTTCTCCAAGATGGAGAGCTGCAGCTTGGGGGCCATGCCCAGTTTGTGGTCCTGCACATCACACTCGGATTGTAGGCTGTGTTCAAGACCACGCTAGAGGAATCACGAAGGTCTGTCACTAATACTCGTAGAATTTTTTACTTTTCGCAGTTTCTTTAGGCTTAGTCATCATATCACATTATATTAATTGACCATATTGTTCACAGATAAGTGATCAAAAATGTCCACTACCTATGCCTCCAAGTAGCGAACCTTGTGACATTCCCAACTGCGATGGCACTGTTGCTACAACAATGTCACCACGAGACACCCGGCGTCAAGTACGGCCAAGAGATCGAACGGATACATTCCGTGACGGACCAATTATTTCGGTTGCATCGAACTCGTCGAATAATGAAGTTCGGCCCAAGTTTGAACATTCATTCAGTTTTAGTGCAACTGGAGGGTGGCTCTACACAGAATGGTCTGAGGTATTCATAATTTTGTGATTTTTACTCAGACTGTAAATATGATTGTAATTAATATTATGATGTTTTACTACCATGATATTCATTTCTTTTTTGTGACATTACGCCACTTAATTAATAATTATTTCTTAGATAACTAAGAAGATTCTTAAAGGTTAGAAATCGACTAACAGTTCAGAAGAATCCAAAGTACATAAATTATTTTTTCTATTTTAGTGTGTAGGCTGGTGTGTGGGTGGTGGAGTACAAAGTCGAGGAGTACGATGTGCAAATCCTTCGGGTTGTTCTTCTCACCGAGTGCCCGAAGCTTCGCAGACTTGTTCGATTACGAGACAATGCGATTCTCAGTGGTTTACTGGTAAATTCAAAATTTTAGGACTGTATCATGATTTTAGTGCACATGTGGCGACTTAAACTGTTTTTATACTCCAGTACTTTAATCTGTCAATTATAATTTTATAAAACATATTACAAAGATGTTTTTAGTTCCGATTCAAAATTCATACTAGACACTGAACTGAAAAAATTCTACATGAAAAAGTACTGTACATAGAACTGTAGTCAGTTTAAAAAAAACGTTGCATTTTTGCTAATTAAAATATCAAATGTGTTAAATTGGCCTAAAGGTCTTGCACCCGGGTCATAAACTTGTATAAAAAAATATTGGTTAAATACAAGCGGTACTTGGCCACTTCTATTCGATTTTTTGGCTTGCTTTTGAGTTTGTTGTCATGGATTGTTAACGAAATATACATTAAATGTTGGTTGTGTTTCATTAATTTATTTATTCGTAGAAAAGTCTTGTATGCAATCATTGCATAACTAGGTCTTAAAAATCTCGTAGCTATTACCTCGTGGCCTAAACCCGGTACTCAACTTTAAGTACCCTCATTATGCAACGATTTCATAAAATACTATTTTGGGTCAGTGGTGACTACCATAAGTTTATATTTTTATGACTAAATTAATTATAACATTACTTCATTCCTACCTTAGGCGAATGGTCGCCTTGCTCAGCATCCTGCGGCGGGCGCCAAGTTCGTGGTGTCATTTGTATTGGAGGCAATGGACGACGACTGAAAGACTCCGCCTGCCACCGTCCTAGACCGGAACATGAGAGAGCATGTGGAGGGAACTGCGCTCCTTCGTGGTATCTTAGTGATTGGACCGAGGTTTATACAAAATATTTCTGCATTTACTGCCTCTAGAATCTAAAATTTAGTACATGTCAATAAACTTACTTCGCTGGCTCAGTGACCCGAGGTCTTGGCCTCCGACACCAAAGTACGCCTTTTCTGTCGGTGTTGTGCCAATTCCGACCATTCGTACACATTCAATTGCCTTAGGTCTTCGGCGACTTCATCCTTGCAGCGATATCGATACACCCGAAGTTGCCCCAAATACGCTCTTTTAGCAGTTCCTATCCGATTATTTCCATATGTCCTAGCCAGCGAAGTCGAGCAGATTTTATTTCCTCGATTATGATCAGTTCAGACACTAGTTTTTCTATTCTCACACACACTCACACACTCACACACTCACACACTCAACATAGCCCCGCACTAGGGAAACCCTGTGTCGCGGGTGCCATGGACACACACATAGACAACCACAAATTACACCCAAACTCACGAGAGAAATAAATGTAGGCCATACAAATATTTCTCCCGGCCTGGGAATCGAACCCGGGGACCTCTGCGTGGCAGTCCGGTATGGTAACCGTTCGGCCACGGAGGCAGTTATTCTCTATTAAATCTGGCCCTCCAGTTCCCAAATTATCTATATATCTTTCAAAATATCTTCCGTTCCGCCAGCAATAATTTATATTCTTCCTTCAGCGTTAATGTCCATGTTCTACACCCATGCCTACGTTAAGATTGGCCTAATTACTGTTTTGTAACTTCGACACCAACACTTTGCGAAGGGTTGCTGTACACCGTAGCGCGTTTACTACGCGAATACTGATTTCATGTCAATAAACTAAAGAATAAACTTATTACGACCTCGGTGGCCCAACGGTTTGCACTATGGCCACTGTGAGTGGATAAGGAGGTCCAGGATTTGATTCTCGGTAAAATCAGTTTGGGAAATGAACATTTCTAAATTGGTTCTGGTCTGGGTGTTCCGCGTAGAGCTCAGAAGTGAATTCCGTTGCTCAGGTATTAATTGACAGGGAATTCCCTAGTTTAAGACTAGGCAATTGGTATAGTTGCCTGGCACATTATTATTATTGTAAATCGTATCTCTAAAACAACCATTGTACTTACTTGTACACTTTTTTCTTTTTTAACGCGTACACTCATAACCCCGCACTCGGAAAACCCTGTGTCGCGGGTGCCATGAACACACGCATTGACAATCACAAATTATATTTTATTATTATTTTATTATAAATTATAATTATAAACTTACAAGATAAATAAATGTAGACCATACAAATATTTCTCCCGGCCCGTTATTTAACCCAGGACCTTTGCGTGGCAGCCCAGCATAGTAACCGTTCGGCCAAGGAGGCAATTTATATATTTGATCATTATGTTTTGTAACCGATTTTGTATATATTTTTTTAGTGTCAAGGTGCTTGTGAAGCCGGTATTCAGACACGTACAGTGTGGTGCGCTAAAGGCGGTGCTGAGGGTTCAGGAGGTGCAGCAAGAGACACGGAGTGTCCTGGTCTAAGGCCATTGGCCAAAAGATCCTGCGTCCCACCTAGATGTTCTTCTAAACCTGTCAACAAACCTGTTATAATCAACACTCCCGTCGGTAAATACATTATTTCATTAACGCTAAATACAGACTTGATTGCGCAGACTATTATTCGAAACAGACCTCCACTCGAATCGGACAACTTTTAACAGTTCTTAAAATTAACCAAAGGCTAGAATAATCTCAGTACAGAGTACTAAAAAAACCGACCTCAAAAGTACGTGGAATTACATCTATTTGCCAAGTTTTATTGAAATCGGTTACCGGTAAATGCGCGAAACCGGATTCATCCCCCAGTTCCTCACTATACGGAACTTGACACAGGAGATAATAAAAATTGGTTCTGACTACTCAAAGTATATTGAGAGAAAAACGCCTTGAATTGGAGAATAGCAAAATCAACCATTAAAATAATTGCTCCTTATAATAAAATTTAGGCGCTATTTATAAAAATGAATCTTCATGCGTGAACAGCCACCCTTACAGATGGATGATTTTCTTCAAAATTAAATGGGACCACTATGGAGGTACCCTCTTTCCAAAAAAAAATAATAATTAAAATCGGTTCACAAATGGCGGAGTTATCGCGTAACATAAATACAAAAAAACATACAGTCGAATTGAGAACCTCCTCCTTATTTTGAAGTCGGTTAAAAATAATAAGCTGTGGTAGCCTAATGGTTTCACCTACCTAGTGGGTTCGAATCCGGGCTTGCACCTCTGAGATTTGAAATTTACCATGAGCTTTTCGGTAAAGGAAAACATCGTGATGAAACCTGCATGTCGAAAAAGGTTCATAACCCTCGTAAAACGTGTGAGGTCCCCAACCAGCATTGGATCAGCATGGCGGAATAAGGCCTAATATATAATTGCCGCGCTAACTGCACTATTACATATCAACTTAGAACGCGTGACGTCATGGGTAAGTTAACAAACTAAACAACGTGTACTTGTCAACAGCAAGTAATCCTCTTTCTAAATATTTTACAGTTTTTTAGTTAAAAAAATTATGTGGGAAATTAGGATTAAGTGGAGAAAAAATACAAATTAACTCGCAAACGGTGCTACGACGACGTCTCTTGATTTATTTATTATAAATCAAGGTATTATTTATTACTCATGTAATTCCACGAACTTTTGAGGATGGTTCTATTTTAGAAAAAAGTTACAATTTATTTTATTATTTCAATTTATTTATTTTATACTGTAGGAAAATATATATAAAACGATAATGTACCATGGAAATCTTGAATTTAACCTGTGCAGCGTTATAAAGTTTTTTATAATAATAATGTTACTTAAATCCAGTTTCAGACCCTCAACAGCGAGTAACAAGACACCAAAGTAATACACTGAATGCAAGAGAGAGACCCGTATCCGATGGTAAGGCCAAGTTTTCTTCTTAAATTTTAATCTGAGATGTACTACACAATCATCAAATATTTGCTCAACCTTTAAGAACATTAATCATTTGCACCAATTATTTAGTGTAATAAAACCACATCTGCAAAATTAAAAATTTTCTGAATAGAGGTTTAAAGATCCTATGAACGAAATAAGATGATAACTTTATAATTAAATAGAAGTTATAAAATTTCACAATTATACATAAATTCAGTAGCTGTAGAACTCCCTGCGAAAGAGTTATTTCAGATAAGTACTGCCATCTTACCTATTTCTGCCGCCAAGCAGTATTGTCAGCATTACGTGTTCCGGTTTTGAAGGGTAAGGGTGCTGGTGAAATTACAGGCGCAATAACAATGTCCATAAGATCTTTGCGATTTAAAGCTCTGAGTGGCACTGCAAACGTTTTGGACAGGCATGTAGCTTACCATCAGGCGCAAGACTTGTTCATCCCATCACTTAAAAAAAAAATTGTTTCATGTACTTTGTATTATTTTTATGATTTGCGTATGATAAAAGCACTTTTGACGTAGACGTGGCATGTGGCTTTATTATACCAAAAGGATAACATTTGCAATAAGAAATTTACACAAAGACCTTTCAACATAGACCTCCCAACTCAGTCTCTCTAAAGTCTAAACGAATTATTTGTATTTCAGGAGCTTGCGTGGATAAGTTGAGCAACTGTGTCCTCGCCGTCCAAGCTCGACTCTGCAACTACCCTTATTACGCGGACTATTGCTGCCGTTCGTGTCATGGACGATAGACCTTCCAAAAGAGATGGTCTGTATATTTACAAGCAGTCATTATTGCACTTTCATAGACCCAGGCTGCCTAGGAACTAAATCTTACTTTCGTATTCTATTTATTAGATTATTATTACGACGTCGGTATGCACTGTGGACGCTGGATGAGGAAGTCGCGGGTTCGATTCCCTCTAGTACCAATTTGGGAAATGAACTTTTGTAAATTGGTTCTTGTCTAGTTGCTCCTGGTATTGCCCCGGAGTGAAATCTGTTGCTCTTGTATTCATAGTATAGTTATCTGGCACATTAATATTATTATTCTTATTAGATATCGCTAAAATTAAAATATTACTAATTTCACTGATTCATATTATAGTAAATGCAAAATAAAGACCAACATTTTGTCTCAATTTCTAAAGCTCAATTTACGTTACTGCGGAACGGAATGGAAGCGAATTCTTGTAACGAAATTGTGCACAGCATAATGAACTTTATGCCAATTGTGTATCGTACAAACTACGATACGATTTTACTAGCAGTAGAGCTCCTTGTGAAAAAGTTCGTCCGGGGAAGTACTGCCACCTTACCTATTTCTACGGGTAATATGTGGATTACCACGTTCCGGTTTTGAAGGGTGAGATTGCTGGTGAAATTATAGGCACGTAGGACTTGTGAACTTTATATCTCAGGGTGACAGGCGCAGTGACATTGCTCCTCAGGTCTTTGCGGTTTAAAGCTCTGAGTAGCACTGGAACTGTTACCGGTAGGCGTGTCGCTTATCACTGATCTCACACGACTTCTTTGTCCCGTTCGCTTGATCTCCTAAAAGAAGATGTATCTAGTTTCTACCTTACACAATAGACATAAAGTTCGTTATGCTATGGTTATAAAATATCGCTTCCATTCCGTTCCGCGGATATGTAAATTGAGCCTTAGGCATCAATGAAGATTCGAAACATTTGACGACCTCCGTAGCCGAGTGGCTTGCACACCGGTTTTCATGGTGTCGCTACATCTGAGGTTCCGGGTTCGATCCCCGGTCGAGTCGGTGTAGAAAGCTAACTTTTCTATATCATTGTTTCTGACAAATGTTTTAGCTACTTACTCAGATCAAAGCAACGTATGTGATGTTGTGTAATATTTACATTTGTTTAGTTATTATTTTATTTAAACAATATTAATAAATAATAGTAAAATTCTCTTTCATAGGTACCAATTGCAGATAAACACTACGACATTGCAAGCCACTTAAAAACTTGTTATATGGAACGGACGCATAGTGAGAATACCATAATATAACAAATGTGTTTGAGAGTATAAATTCATAAAATCCTAAATCCAGAAAAAGTGATATTCTCACAACAGTAGAAGCAAATCTATAAACTGATAGCAAAGCTATAGTGTAATCGACTAACATCGAACTTGTAATAATGTCGGTAATTTATAACAAGACAACTATCTGTAGGACTAGCATGACAGGGCGCGACTTGCGCGAGAGCGACATAAAGCGCGAGAGTGACATAAAACGCGAGATACTTCTATTTCGCCTGTAGTAGCGCTATAGTGCTAACCTTACTGGTCGATAAGTAACATAATTTGTTCTAAAAATAAAGCACTTTTGTTATATGGACTCTCTATTAGAACTCAGTATAACACTTCCCCGTTACGTATACAGATAGATATACCTGAAAACGTAAACGACTGACTTAAAGTCAGATGCGTTGATGATATTTAGAAAAATAGAACCAAGTATCATACAATTGTTGATAATTAAAAAGTGGACTGTACGTTCGTGATACTTTAAGTATTAGATTAGTTTCGTGATCTCCAGTGTTTAGTCGAGTGAGGAGTCGATCTGTGGACATTAATTAGTTTTAGAGTGTTTTGCATAATACCAATGCACACCGAGCTATTAAAAAACCCCATGTACGTCAAAAAGTATTGTAGCTTGCCTTTAACCAGAATTGTATTTCACGTAATTTCATCTTATTGTAGTCACATTGTAAATTTTCATTGCTTTTAAAATTACGAACTATAATGAAATTCATTTCAAATGGTTCTACTAAGTAAATGTTTAGGCTATGTTAGATTTTAGAAACGATAGTATTCCTATACAATAAATCAAAGAACAATTCTGAGAAAAAAATTCAATTTTAAAAATTACATTTATGTATAAGAGCTGTTACACACGGTGACTTAGCAACGCGTCTGCAGCGATTCAGTCGCGATGCAGTCCCTAATCGTCTACTTTACACATACGCGCGTCTTAAGCCGCGATACAATCGTGACGCATTCATTTTTAATGATGCAATAGGTCCGACCACATCGACGCAGTCGCGTTTATATCGCTGCTAAAACTCACCGTGTGTAACTGCTCTTAATATTCAATATTATCAAATAGAGTCCTTGATAATATGTCTAATAATTGTAGTAAATTTTGTAAATAAGTGGTTACTTCTGTATGTATAGTGCATTTACTTAATGGCTGTTAAGTATTTATGTAATTATTAAGATTAGAACCATTACCATCATGTAGAATTGATTAGTTTGCTAAAATAACTACAGTTTTTTCTAATGCAATATAACAATGTACAAAAATAATAAGCTTTAAAACACTTGCCGTTTGTTTTTCATTTATTTAGAGATATATTTTGTTATTTATCTGCGCCCTCATTATATTAAGGGCAGTGGCGCCACTGACGTTACACCTTGATATTGTATGAAATTACCTAGTAACGGCGCAGCAGTCGCGCCACAGACGCTCCACTGCAGCGGGAAGATTTGAAGGTGCCCTAAATTTCTAAGATAAGCGAACCACTGGTAGTGTGGTGGGTATTTTTTAAGACCCGACCGTATTATCATAGAGATGCCTTTTATAATCTCTAAATAACGATTGTATTACTTGAGTGAACAGGATGACCACTGCTTAGTTGTTGCATTGAGTATATACAAGCGGTTTGCGTAAACCAAAGCAATGGTCTCAATACAAATATTTTTATATCAAGTGTTCTATCAACTCATATCAAACGGGCAATTTAAGAAAGAGCTCGTGTACAAAGGCAGTTTAAAAATTTCATGGACATTCCATCATGTCTTACTACTTCTAAGAATATAGAAATTTAAAAATAAAAATACGAAAACATGGGTTAAAAGAACGTATTGTAAAGTACATGCAAAGATTTTCGTACAAGTGAATTAAAAAGATATGAAATAAAAGAAAATGTTGTAATTAAAACATCGTCTCTAAATCTTTTGTCGAACATTTTAAATGTGTTAAAAGTATTCGTATGTTTTTTGTACGCATGCATATCTCTGAAGGTTGTCCAGTTTTTCCAGGTTTCCCAGTTGGTGCTTTAAGGGTTGGTTAATTTGAGTTCCTTTTTTTAATATTGATGGTATCTTAATTTTTAGTAGCAATAGAGCTCCTTGTGAAAGTGTTCGTCCAGGGAAGTACTGCCTACCTTATATATTTCTGCCACCAAGCAGCAATGTGAGCATTACTGCGTTCCGGTTTGGAAGGGTAAGTGTGCTGGTGAAATTACAGGCACATGGAACTTGTCAACTTATATCTTGGGGTCTTAAATCTCGATCGAATCAAAGGCTTTCTAATCGTCCACGTTAACGCTAAGCATAATGGCAGGTTATAATCCTCGGTCTTCCGACGAGATGAGACGGTTCGTGATGACTCGTGAAAAATGCATGTACACTGCGGCTATTTTCTCAGCAATAACTATGGAGCATAATCTATTATTTATTACTTCTTTTTGTTACTAAAGAAAAACTAAATGAAATAGCTGCGAGCCCCCTCTATCTTCTCAGAAAACTTATTTTTGGATTTTTTTTTACCTTTTACGCTAAGCATTTATACGCTAATAGGTACTGATACATTTCATTCATACGGAGACAGTCAATTAAAAATTAAAATACAACGTCAAATTTATCATTCGTTTTATTTCTAACTATTAACATTGGTACCTATTTGTAATACATATCTTAAATATAAATAATTAATTTCAGTTAATTATCGTTTTCTACCAATAAGTACATAAATACTATGTGTGAAAAACAGTTTAAGTTCACATATGCCTAAACAATAAAATAGATAATAAACATAAAGACTTTTAAGGTTTTAATAAATTCTTGAAATATTTTATATGAAAGGAAATTTTGTACAAATACCGAAAGCCTAACCATTTATAGATACATATAGAGAATTTTACACACTTCGTAAGAATTTCTTGAGTAAAATTTGAATAAATCCAATTCGTCAACATAGAGATACAGTGCAATAAAGACAATTACTTAATTGAGTATAGAGCCTACCTAATACCGACTATACACGCACTTTAATTTATGAAAGTTTAATCAGTATTTTCAGGCAATACATTTGAATTCATCGACCCCTGCAGGAATGACAGCAATACTGAACGTAATAGTTGTAATGACAAAGGCGAGCTTGGACAGCTAAGGCGCAATTCGTGAGCTTGTCTTCACAATCTGAAACGAAATACATATCAAAGACACACATTTATACACGAATTTACGACTTTCGAAGTTTTAATTAAATCGTTTAATAAAGAAACAACATATATATATATATATGTTATATGTTCTAAATGTAAAGGACAGGCATATCGTAATGCAAACCATACAGCGAAATCACTACCTACTCTCTCACTCTCACCTGTGCATACTATTAAACCTGCCTTAAGCTTTACAGATTAATGTGATCATTAACTAATTAATGCTTGATCTATCTATCTTTTTATATCAGATCGTATGCGTTAATTCATGTATTTTTCTAATTAGTGAAGGCTGCTTATAAGTATATCAGAGAAAGGAAACATCCGGCTGACGGTAATAATGAGAATAATGTTACGATTTCAGTGTAGCATGAAAGCTGCATTGGAAACAATATATACTTTAACAAAAAGCGTTGACACTGCTCTAGGAAATTAACAATTATTGAAAGTTTAAAGTTATGAAATGACGACATTAAACAACAAAATTAAATGAACAAATATGGTAATATTATTTCACTTTACAGTGGTTTTACCTGTTGATTCATCATTTCTTGTTGATACAGTAGTCCTTGGAGTATTTGGAGTTTCAAGTGTCGTTGATTTTTGAGATTCTGAAAAAAAAATTTTTTTTATAAACAACCAGAAACCATTACTCTTCTGGGGATACATACGAACCTATAAAATCAGACGAAATAGGTTTTTCTCTAATATTGTAAATTAATAAAATTTTCTTACCTGTAGGTATATTTGGTGGAAGAGTAGCAATGGACACAGAAGAACATTTTAATGGACATGTTCTCTGTGCCGGAGGCTTCAATCCACTGCATTCGGATTCCTCACTGGCAACATCTTTTTGAGCACACCACACTGTACGTCTTTGAATACCATTCCCGGTTGTGCAGTTACCGGTACACTACGGGAAAATATTTTAAAATGATTTTCCTCCTGCAGTTCAAGGCTGTGATCTTACGTAAATTTATTATCATCGTAATACTTCTTTCAAGTCATAAATACTCCCAATCATGGATTTTGAGATTACTATTTAAAAAGAAAGAAAATTTGCTTTGTTTGATATCAATAAAAAGCATACCTGTCCCCAATCACTGAAGTACCACTTGGGTGGACATTCTTCGCCGCAATCTCTCTCAGTTTCAGGTTTCGTGCTCCTACAAGCTGCGTCGCGGAGATGTCTTCCAGTACCACCGATGCACAGCACTCCTCGAATTTGTTTACCACCACAAGTGGAGGAACACGGTGACCAATCTCCTATAAATAGACTCTTGCGTTTAAATTTACTCGGTTATAAATATAGTACGTGAACAAGAATCGGTTTGTCATAGCGTGTAGTATTGCCATGCATTTAATTTTTTTGGCTACTTCTTTTATATAGTTAGGAACGCGTTACGAACACAAAAGCGTTAAACGTTTTACTGCCGTTAAACAAAACGCTTCCACGAGTATAGTAGTGATATTAGCGAGAGCTCGGAATTGCATATGTACTGATATTTGTGTGTCTACACAAGGGTTTGAGGTGGTATTTGTGATTTTTATGCGAGCAGCACACCATTACATATGCAATTCCGTGCTCTCACTAATATCACTATATCAATCGTTATAGATGCATTTTATATTTTACCTGTAAACCAGTGGCCTTTGTGTGGCTCACAAGCTAGACTAGGTGTACAAGATTTTGACGTTTCAAGAGATTTTCTTGGAGCACATCCAGAGGGATCTGCACAGCGAACTCCACGAGACTGTACCCCTCCGCCAACGCACCATCCCACACACTACAATTATAACGAATTATGAAATACTACGTATTCATGAGTTCGACACAAAAGAATAGATGGTGCGGTTGTTTCGAAATTAAATCAAAAGCATAACGAAAATAACAAATAATAACAGATAGTAACAAATAACTTTTCATTTTCATATCATCTACAAAATAAAAAAAAGCAACAAACAATTTCTACTTACGTCAGACCAGTCAGTGTACAACCATCCAGCAATTGGACTAAAACTGTATTCCGGACCATACTCCAGTTTAGTATTATTAACAGGCACAGTATAGACGGGACCATCTCTGAATCTGTCTGTATGATCTCGAGTTGGTATCATTTGTCTCGACGCGATGTATTTTACTTCATTACAATCTGGTATATTACATACGTCTGTTGTCGGTGGTTTAGGTGCCAGGCATTTAAGATCACTAACCTGAGAACAAATTGGGTTTACTTTATTAAATCATCAGTCTATTTACAAAAAAAAAGTAGACTTGAATCTAGGCTAACTTACTTTAGAAATGCCTCTAGAATGATCCTGCACACATCCAACAATCCTAGATTTTGAAGCAGGTCCACATTTTGGGCAAGTAGACCAAACAGCAGCTCTCCACCTTGGAGCACATGGCACATTGCCACATCTTCGTCGACGAGCAGCAGGTGAAGATCCATTGCAATGCACTGGTGATACTTCTCTGTTGGAACCATTAGCATCGCTTTCTACGCAACGATACTTTCCTACCTATACAAAAATTTTGTAGATTTACAAATGTATAAGATGTTCTGCCTTAAAATTATCTTTAAAGAAAACCTAAAAAAATATTACCTGAAAACCACCACCACAGCTTCTCGAGCATTGTGTATAAGACATAATCTTCCAACTAAATATTCTACCTCCTATAACATTGTCGCCCATATTATTGTCATCCTCTAAACTACTTTCTTTTGATAAACTAGTCATATCATGCTTTGGCACTCCAACCATTGCGTAATCAAAACTGTGATGTCTACTGGTGTGCTTAGCCTGTATTGTCGGCACAATGTCAGGAATATGAGGTCTTGTGGCTGGTCCAACCGGTGGATCCACTTCTCCAGGCACAGATTCAGTAAAGTATTCATATCTGATGTTAGGATTTGGTCGAGTGTAGAGAATCTGGAATAATCAGGATCGTCAGCTAAAGATTCTTAAACAACATTCATAAAGTCTTTTGCCTAGCAAAATAAAAAAAAAATATCTTACCATAATATCAATAGGTTCGTGAATAGGCCCCACGGCAAATACGGAATCAAGATGGTCTTTTCGAGAGTAAATAAATCTTGCTCCTGCCGCGTCGTAAGCGCCTGGTACACTCACAGCAAATTCCCCATTCATAATATACGACCCATTTAATATTTTCAGCGCTAAAGCAGACAAAAATGTATGTTAATAGAAAAATATATATTCGTTTATTCATTGTGTAAATTTCATTGACTATTTTCTTTCATTGGCCGTTTTAAACTCAGTTTCGTTGATTTCGTGACATGTCATGGTCTAACCAAACAATTTCCTTCGAAAAGGAAGTAATCATTACATACTCGACTAACCCATTTATGTAGAAAAAGTATATAAAAGCTAACAATATATGACAAATCAATTACTACATAGCTCGACACATTGAAAACCTGTCAGTATTGTCCAAAATTGTTTCCAAGGCGAACTATTCTTCGCACGGAAACAACGTGGGTGTTGCTATTGTAGTTCTGTAATGATTTATTAGAATGATTGATTGGTAAGTGACCAACCTCGCTTTTGCGGATCATTTAACGCAATCAAAGGACCATTCAGGACTATTCAAGATTATAGAAGGTTATTTGTCAGTACATTACAATGATCAGGAATGATTTTAGACTTCAGGGATATTTTAAGTGCCTGAAATAGAGGCTAACAGCTCTATTGCAAATAAATCTTCTGTACTTACCAATATAATTCTCACTAGAAACAATCTCAGACACATTAATCCTGCATGCACCACGGGGTACTGTAGTCACATAGGAATAGCCCAGTGGCAATCTAGGTCGGGAGAAAAGACCAGACACCAGACGTCGTCCGCAATGCAACTCACGGGTACTTGATGAAGACAATACTGACTCTCGGCCGACAACCTGCATAAGAAAAACGGTGGTTATATTTACGAATTGTAAGAAAATATTTTACTCTAATGACCCGGGAAGGCTGTGGTAATACCATTTCTGATACAATACTAATGTATGAGAAATGGTATTCCTGCAACTTATGTGGTATGGCCCTGAAGTAATACACAGCCAAGCAATAATATTATGAGCGTCACTGCTGTCTGGTTTTTGAAGGGTAAGAGTGCTGGTGATGCCAGTAACACCCGTGTGTTACTGGCATCACCAGCATACATAAGTTGACAAATCCCATGATTTGTCAACTTATGATATCGGACGCAGTAGCAATGCTCCTCAGATCTTTGCGATTTAAGACGATGAGTTAATTGTTATGGGTTAACGTGTCACTTACCAGCAGACGCACAACTTATTCGTCCTCTTACTAGACATCATTAAAAAAGATAAGTATTATAGTATAGGGCTTCTAAAACAATAGGAATATTGATCAGTGGTCATATCACCAGAGGGGGAAGGAACTCAAAAAAATTGACACTGACGATTAATATAACTGAAAGTGTAAGTAATATTAAAAATATATCAAATATAACGAAAAACGCTTTGAAGAACTTTAAAAAGCTACACATCTCATTTATCTATCATATTTATCTAAATATTTATATATATATATAGGTTATAATAATTTAATGTTATTGATATTGTTTCTTTTTAATATTTTTTTTTGTATGAAAAAACAAATTATACGCGATTTAAATCCGGAAAATTAGTTTCATTTCCAATGTGGAACAATCGCGAAAACCTAAGACTCGATATTTTTTTTATATTTATACTTTTGTTTCTTGTGCACTTAAAGCCGTATTGTAATTATTGTGTCCTACAGACTGCAGAAAGAAATTTCTTTCAGAAATAAGCTATACCTTTTCTGTATGTTTTCCTTTTAACTTTTAATGTAATTTGTGTCTTTCTGTAAATGGTTAAATAAAAAATCTCCAGTCCAGTACGAAAAACTTTTTATTTACAATTCAAGCCTACAATAAATTGAGCAAGTAAAACAATGTCAAAACACCATGCAGTACTAAAGTTTACGAGTAAGCATAGACACAGACAATAATGGCTCACCCTACGATGTATTGTGCGAACCTTGATAAGGTACTTTCAAAGTATCACATATAATATCACAGTACCATTTGATATAAGCGTTGAGGTCTCTAATGGTTAAAGTATTTCAAATAAATTTAAATGCGTGGAATGCATGTGGAATCTAGACTCATGTTATCTTTCCATACATCTTTATCTAACACGTAGTCTACAATTTTGTAATATGACTTTTCAATTAAAATACTTTTAATGTAAGTTTTAAACTTAGGAAATAGTAATCTTAATATGACAAGTGAAAAGCATTTACTATTGTGGCTTGAATACAAAGAAGAATTATATACAAATTCACAATATTTAGAGCATCAAAAGACCTTAGGCAACATAGTATAGGTTCCCTTTTAGAACCTAGCTAACAATAGCACAAGTGGCTTTCGAAGTCTATTTAGATTCAAAAACCCAGGAGACATACGAATTGAAAAAGTCCATCATATGGCATAACCAATAAAGTTCCATACAAATACATAAAATACCTCAATACAAGACATAATTCAAAATATAAAAATAAATAAGGCATTTCTATACGTTGCAAAGAAGAAATAACTAGAATAAAATATTAACATTATTGATAAGCATGACTAAATATTATTTTACAGTTAAAAAATTATGTTGACTAATTGTGTTTTTGTGGTAATAATTTTGTACGAATAACTTTTACAATACATACGTTTCTTACTGTGGGATGAGTAAATTCTTCAATATGCTGAATAACTAATATCACATCGTTGGTGTAATAAGGCCACGTCTGCAAAGACAACTTTCAGGAGACAGGTTTAAAGATTCTACGAACGAAATGTTCGTGACTATTTTATGCTTAAGTAGGAGAATTATACAATTTCACATAATGCATACATCGTTTCATGTAGTTCGTGTTACTTTTATGACTTTCAAGTGATAAAAGCACTTTTCACATATGACATAACATTGCCATGTGGCCTTTTTATACCAAATGTACGATTTGCATTAAGAAATTTACCCAAACCTTCCAACGTAGACCTTCCAACTCAGTCTCTCAAAAGTCTTAAACGAATTGTTTGTGTTTCAGGAGCTTGCGTGGACAAGTCGAGTAACTGTGTCCTCGCAGTCCAAGCGTTGCAACTACCCTTATTACACGAACTTCTGCTGCCGTTCGTGTCGCGGACGATAGACCTTCCAAAACAGATGGTCAGTAAGTACATTTTAGTGGCAGTAGAGTTCCTTGTGAAAGAGCTCGTCTAGGGAAGTACTGCCACCTTACCTATTTCTACCGTCAAACAGTAATGGTCACATTACTGTGTTCCGGTTGTGAAGGGTAAGGGTCTCGGTGAAATTACAGGCACATGAGACTTGTCGACTTAAGTCTCAGGGTGACGGGCGCAGTAGCGGTACCCCCAGATCTTTACGATTTAAAGCTCTGAGTAACACTGCAAGTGTTATGGGCAGGCGTGTGGCTTCCTACCAGGAGCACGACTTGTTCGTCCCGTCACTTGATATTATATTTTAAAAAATTGCCTCTGTGGCCGAACGGTTACCACACTGGTCTGTCACGCAGATGTCCCGGGTTCGATTCCCGAGCCGGGAGAAATATTTGTATGGCCTACATTTATTTCTCTCGTGAGTTCGGGTGTAATTTCTGGTTGTCTATATGTGTGTGCCCATTTTAGTCGCAACACAGAGTTTCCCTAGTGCGGCGCTATGAGTGTGTGCGTTATATTATTATTATTATTCACGAGCAGTCATTATTGCACTTTCATAGACCCTGGCTACCCAGGAAGCAAGCTTACGTTCTTGTCCTACTTCTTATACATATATCATGATGTATGAACTCATATAACTTTATTATACCAACGGTACGCTTGCACCAATTAAAATAATGTACACCAACACAAAAGAAGTCTGCGCCATAATACGCACCGTTGAAAGGTCGATTTCTACATCTAATATTCAGGGACACGATGTTCCCAATTTGCCCTAATTAAGATATAATAAAGAATATTATAAACACATCACAAGTAACCGCATCCTAATGACGCAAACAAAAAGTCAAGTAGTATAAAATATATCATTCGCATAACTTCGTGAGTCGCTTCTTATCTCATTTTTATGTAAATACATAAAACCTTTGTAGATAAAGTCGACACAAATTCTTGCACCTACATGAATATTTACAACCTATAAATTAACTAATTAAAGCATCATTCTAGTAAGTAAAATAAAGGGTGTTACAAAACGATTCGACTCTGTTTTAGCTGTTAATTACAATCAAGTTTCGTGAACAAAATTTCTCATAAACTAGAAGCGACTTCTGAACTGAGAGTTTACACACGGATCGGTCTCCTCGGACAATACATCCGTAATATCCGTAAATCTTTGATCTGTTTTCTCACTGTTTATCATTTTCAGTAAAAATTAAAGAGACATTTATTATTATAATATTAATTATCAAATACTTATCATGATTATCCAAAGAAACTAATATCTTGATAAATTTCGAACCCTGCTCTAAGGTGATGATGTTATCCCATTGTGCCATTGTTATAAATAAAGTCCGATCTATGGATCCGACGAGAGAGCAAAGACTACAGCCAGTTTTATAAAGCACGAGGCTATATGCAAGTTTTTAATATTGATTTAATATAACTATCATCATTTCAACACAACGATATAAAACACAACGAGAATGAAACTGATAAACCACTTAACGACTTGATTAACAAAATATCAATGACCTGACAACACTGTAAGACATAATATGAAAAGTTTACGCATAATAAAGTCTTTAAGCAAAAGCACTTACCTGTCTTACAAGTTATTTTGCATTTTATCGTACGTGTTGCGAGATCCCACTATCCATACATACATTTGTGCATACGTAGAATAAAACGTTAAGTTTAATCAAATAAAACATTTCCTCTCTATTTTATTTAAAAATTATCGATAAATAAACATTTATTTCTAAGTTTGTATTTAATTGATATTCAATTATTTTTTGTGAAATTATTCTACTAGTTTGTTATAATTATTAATACAAAGATTGAAACACTTAAAAACATCCTCCGATCCGGCAGGATTCGTACCGACGTCATCTAGCAAACCGTGCTAGACGCTATAACAACTAACGAACCAGCGGGTCTCACGAATTTTTCTATGTGCTTGTTTTGTCGGGTCTTTGTATTTGGTTTTCAAATACTTTTTAGCCGTAGCGCCATGTATGAGAAATCTATGAAAGTATTTCGTCACCCAGTTAGGTAACTTTACAGCTACCAGCCCTGGCTTATTATTTATATTTTTATATCCCGTGAACTTACTAACAAGGCTCTAACTTTAGCTCCCACTGATTCTAGTACAAGCAACACCTCGCTTCATAAAAATCGCTCGCTTAGAGAAAAAGGAAAATGTTTTGACGTTGAATCCAAATTTTGATTCAAATCTACTACAAGTTATGTTATATTATGTTATGTATTAACACGATTTCGTAAAGCAATAAAAAATACATTAAACATTGAAAAACCTTAATAGCGCCTTTTGTTCTACTACAAAGAGGTTTTGGAGACAAAACGTCATGTTACTTTACGACTTTCTCAAGGTCTCTTAAAAGTTATTATTGTTCTTTTATGACCCTTTAAAAGCGATTATTTCAATGCAAATCAATTCAATACAAGATTTTATCAAAAAACGGCACCAATATTCGTTATTTTGTTAATCGACAAACATACTTCAAGACTATGAATTATTTATTTCACACTAATGTACAAAACTTGGTCACAGTTTTTATTGAAATAATTTTTCATCGTCACTTTATATCCGACAGGTTTACTATTGTCAAAGTAATGTATTTTTGTGACATATGCTATTTTTGTCATGTATTATTATATTTCACA